GACGGAGAAAGTAAACGATAACATTTATGGTTAAGTGTTAGCACCCCCCGAAGAGGCACAAGCTCTTACGTTGATATTGGAGATTTCAATAAATTCAACACAAAAAAAAACTGAATATCCGAAGGACAAAATTGAAACCCGAATAGTACTCCAACGACCAAATATTCGGATATTCGGGTTAGGGATGCCAGAAACTGACCATGATCAAATTCGTAAATCGGACAGCCCTGGCGAAAAATAAAATAAAAAACATAAATAATAATAAAAAAATATATAAATAAAAACGAATTTTAAAAAATAATTTTCGATTATGGAGACTGTAACAAATAATCGAATAATCGCTGGCATCCCTAATTCGGGTACAGCCCTAGTGCTAACACTTAATCATAAACGTTATCGTTTACTTTCTCTATCTTTATATGTAGATATAACTTTTTCTCCGTTAATCTCCGTCACTTTGTTTGCCATAGCAACAAAAACTTCCTGTCAACGGCGCTAACTCTCCTTCAAAATAAAAGCATGTCCATACAAAATAGGAAGCCAAGCCAAATTACACTTAAGACATATACAACTGCAATGAAAGTAACAAACACAATGCAATATCCTTTTCAATTTCAAAGAACACAAATTGGGTTGTATAGATTAACAAATAACTATAAAACAACAATACTGTAGATTAACAAAATGAATGCCGTGAATAAACCGAAATACACGTGTTGGAGCGGTTCGCTGCTGATTACTACGAATGCAGTACTTAAACAGACACCAGGTTCTATTGTAATCTTCTTGATTAGCACATGGAACATAACATACCTGAATAAGCTCATTTAGAGATTGTAGTGGACTCTCTTACACACCGTCTCTATGACATTTACATTTCATAAAAAAACTAAAACGTTGTTAAACTCATTTTAATTGTATGTTTTGTCTTGATGTGTGTCCATTTAGGGACCTGCTGAAGTGGTGTGAGCGGATCAGTGTTAACTTCGACAGCACCTCTTCAGCCACAGCACAGAACGTCTTCCAGGAGGTCAGTGGGTTTGTTCCGCTAAAATGTTCACAACAAAGGATACATATCTGTCCCACGCAGAGGCCAGCAGATAGCATGTACTTCAATACTGTTCAAAGTATTGGATTACATGTAATGAATACAATTACATTATACAAATAAGTAATCAGATTACTGTTACATAAAAAAATAGAGCAGGATGACAGTGTTACAGGGAAATCAGGTTACATTATTTTAAAATGTTGATACTCAGATTAGGTTACTCATTACATTTTGTACAGGTAATTAGTTATTGTAACGCATTACATTTTTAAAGTAACCCTGCTAGGAGGTTAGTCGTACTGCACTGGAATATCCGTTTCTATTTTTAGAAGTACAAATGTGTTTTGGCTGTACATCGGGTGTTGATTGAGGATGAAGGATTTATATCGACTGATGTCTCTCCATAATGTCCCTCTCCATAATGTCTCTCTCCATAATGTCTCTCTCCAGGCTCTGGACTGCTTCACTGCCATGCTGTCCCGTCCTGAAGGCCGCCTGCGAATGGCCGAGATCATTGGAAGCAAGCTGAACATTTCCAAAGAGAAGGTACCTGACCTCTGCTCTGGAAAAAAAAGTTAGAGGGGGTCGGAGGCATTCATATGAAGTGTTTGTGATCTATCTGCCAAGTGTGATCCCTCGGGTTTTCTCTCCTGAGTTTAGTATTTACAAACCGGTCAGAAAAAGGGTTGATGGGATTATCTTTATGAAATCCTTTAAAAAAAAAAAAAAAAGAAATAGATGCGTAATATAGACCTTTAGTCGTTATTCATCGTTACATGCACAGAACTGTCAAGTTATATAGATAGATTATTTTTTCCAAGTTTGGAAATTGTTTTGTCACAGTGGCATTTTTTATCTACAAGAATTACAAAATGTCCTTTTTAAAATAGAATAAAATACAAATCAAATAAAAAAAAATACACATTAAAAGTTAAAACATAATATATACATATTCTCGGTAAAAAATACATATATTCAGAGGAGTATCTAAACACTATAAAATGTACAGAAGACATTAGAATGTTATTTTTATTTTATATACCAAAACAATCTAGTGTACTATGTATACATTAAAAAAGTAAAATATGAAAAAAAAAAGACATCTGTGTTTCCCACCAGTTTCACAGATAAAACAAATGAAATGAAGTAGATTTAAAAAGATGATCTTGGCTTTAAAGCATCCCCTACTGCATTGATTGATAAAAAAAAAAAGAGAGAAAATAAATTGGAAATGTAGTCCTAAAAGGTCTCCCTGTTTTATGATCTACATCAGGGGTTTCCAAATTCTAGAAGTATAATGGAATATGGCCCACACATAAAACGTGTGCTTGTCTTTTAATTGTACTTCTGAAATATGTAAATATATTGCACACTGCACAGTATTCATGTGTTAATGTGCCTAATTACCAGCTTGAAATAGACCCTTCATATTTCCCCTTTTTATATTCAATCTGAGGCTCCTGTGTTAAGGGATGAGCTGCCAACACTGTTTGTAACCAAATAAAGGAAACCCTCTTCAGAGCTGTGAAGGAGGCTGGTTTGTCCTAAGGCATATTCAAGTATCAAGAATACGTTTTCTACATTTGATTGATTTTGCTAACTGATAACTTAACTTATGAGGCATTTGACATCAGCTCTAGTGAGGGGCCCAGCCCTTCGTATGTTTTTCTGTATGTGGCCCTCAGTGAAGGATGTTTGGACCCCCCTGGTCTACAGTGGTAGTAATGTTCTGATGCTGTCTGTGTTCAGGCCCAGCACTTCTGCCAGATGTACCAGCCGGGCATCTCTGTGAGCGAGGTGGGGGTGTCAGTGGGGAGAGTGACTCTGTGTCGGAAGCAGACGGAGGCGGTGCAGCTCAGTGTGTAAGTGGGACACCTCGCCCCCCCTGACCTCTCTTTGCACCATATATGCATCAGCTGGTTGTTGTGCCAACATTCCCCCATCAGATAGGAACAAATAGTCCCCCCTGCTGGCAAATTGAATAAACATTGCATTGATTTTAAAATGCATTATGGTAAGCAGAGCAATCAGGTCATTCCCAAATATTCATAGATTACAGTAAAGGCAATATGAATGAGAGTCAGCCTTTTTATTGCAGCCTGCCAATAGTGTGTGCATGTTAAAAGTAGTTTGAGGTTGTAATATATATATATATAACACAACATCTCTGCTATTGCTGCATCTAATACAACCATTATTTATTTTTCAAAGGAAGACATTGACATAAGCAATTTTAAAAAAGAAAAAAAAACACTCTTGCCCATTTCGCTGCCATTTTGCTGGTCTGGTATGCGGTTTGTTAAATCACATGACTGTGATCTCTAAACATTAATAACCTTTGAGTTTATTACATGTGTCGGCTCTGGAGACAAGGCAACGTAATTAAACAGTTAAAAAAAATCAACCTCCAGGCCTGTTAAAGTATTTTATCCACCACTGAATATCTAATGATTTAATGGATCAATTTATTTTACTTCCATGAACAGGGACAGCCAGACGTTTGCTGCCACGCGGCCCTCTGCTGTGCTGCTGGAGCAGTTAGCAGTGTGTGTGTCTAAAGGGGAGCCGGTGCTGCTGGTGGGGGAGACGGGGACAGGGAAGACCTCCACTGTGCAGCACCTGACCAGAGTCACAGGTGAGCCCAGGATCCCCCCCTCTCCACATACTTAAGTGTCCTTGAACCTCACATTTCTCCTGACAATTTTTTTTTTTATTGGCATTTTGTTTTTTCAGTAAAAGACATCACACAAATGTAAAACACCCAAATAAGAATACATAAAAATACAACAAAGTAACAATGAAAATGTATACAGATGTTAACACCGTTATTTGTTTACAGGACACAGGCTGCGGGTGGTGAACATGAACCAGCAAAGTGACACCGCTGACCTGCTCGGAGGGTGAGTCAAAAGCACATTTTACATTTACATCCCAACATTTCATTATTTGAATAGCTGCTACAAATGTTTAAGCCATTATTGTGTACTTATTTGTCTTTATTTGTAGTACTTGTGTGTGCTTTTCTTCTTTTTTTTAATACTTTTTTGACCTGCTGAGGCACTTTAGCTGTGACACTAAATTTCCCCACTGTGGAATTAATAAAGGATTTCTGATTCTGTTTAAAAACATCAATATACAGTGGAGCAAAAAAGTATTTAATCAGCCACCAATTGTGCAAGTTCTCCAACTTAAAAAGATGAGAGAGGCCTGTAATTTTCATCCTAGGTATACCTCAACTATGAGAGACAAAATGAGAAAAAAAAATCCAGAAAATCACATTGTCTGATTTTTTAAGAATTTATTGGTAAATTCCTCGGTAAAATAAGTATTTGGTCACCTACAAACAAACAAGATTTCTGGCTCTCACATACCTGTAACTTCTTCTTTAAGATCCTCCTCTGTCCTCCACTTGTTAACTGTATTAATGGCACCTGTTTGAACTCGTTATCAGTATAAAAGACACCTGTCCACAACCTCAAACAGTCACACTCCAAACTCCACTATGG